ATATTTGCATCATAAGACCTGTTTTGTAACAGGTTTTTTCCCCTTTTGGTACAAGCTAAACCCTGCTTCAAACAAACTGTATTTTTCTACTTCAAAATTCCGTTTGTAGTTGCAATTGACGAAGCTAATTTTTAGTTGCTGAAATTCCCTTCTCAGCCTAAAAACCCTCATCAAACACATATAAAGTGGGATGTTGTGGCTGGGGAAGAAACAGTTGACATAATCTGCTGAGGATATGGCTGCAAAGTACCAGTAAATGCTCTTGGGTGAACATGGACAAAAGATTGTTGTGACTTTTCTCAGTACATCTGGGAAATAACACTTTTCAAGGAGGGGCTCTGGAACAATGGGCTTTTTGTCAGCTGCACCTGCAATTTGCTGAGTGCATTTATTCATCAGAGACAGAAGCATCATCTTCTCTGCACTCAAAATAGTGAAATTTTATCTATGTGTAGAGAATCATATCTCTTTATGCCTCGGTTCTCCTGACCACAATGAAAAATGGTTTTAAATGTGCTTTAAGGTGTATTTTAAAATATTCAGTGTTCTGAATGCAATTATCCTCTCCCCACTAATAATATCTCTTCTATTAGGGATGTATAAAGCTGTGTTGTAGCTCAGTGGAAAGATGTGTTGTGGGATTTATTTCCCTTTGGAAGGGGAAAGAGGTAAATTGAAAATGTGAACCTGCAATTTGAATTGAAGGGAAATTTACTTAGATTCATAGTCTATGGTTTTTATGTTCTCTCTTGCCTTTTCTTTGGGGTGAGTGTCACATGGACTGAGCTGTGCTTTCAAAATTTTTATTAGATTAAGGTAAATTTCCACTGAACTTATGACAGTAGTGTTTCTCAGAGATCTCCTGTGTAAGTTTAGTAATTTTTTTAATACATTTTCTAATGTATTTTCTGTTTTTTCTTTCAACATATGATAGATACATAGACAGATGAAAATGTAGAGAAATTATATCCTGAAAATGCTTTGAAGTGTTACTGGAAAACTAGGACAGTAAATCCCCTGTCTTGATCAAGCCAACCAGAAGGTTGTTGTTGGGTGTGGAAGGATGTTTCCACTTCCTCTGTGGGCGAAGTCCTTCACAATTATCACTCAAGGACTAATTGCTCTTTTGGGCAGTACTTTTGCCATTGGTCACAGCTGGTAACTAGATCCTGAATAATGCATTTATGCTGTGATGGGTTTAATTCTGTTGTTGCTCTGAGGAACATCACCAGGCATTGATTTATTGCTACAGTTTAAATTATGTTCTCACTACTTAGACATAAGAAGTTCTCTTGCTGTGCTTGAGAAATCATCCACACTCTGTGCTGTTTTTGTTGTCTGAACAGAACATCTTAGTATTTCTGTAAGGTTTGCTGCAGAGGTACATTGCTTGCAAGAGCTTCAAGGGTTTGACGAAAGTGTCTGACCTATGTTGTCAAATCAGTCTTGATGGTTCAAAACTCCTGTTAATGTTTTCTTAATCTCAGAAAACCATATTCTGTCATATTACTTAAAGTTCAATAGAAATCCACAGACTGATACCTTGCATTCAGTACTTTGTACTCTGAACAAGTCGCAGAATCACTGATCCTGTTTTTATAATTAGGTCAGCATTATCAGTTGCCTTACAGAATTTTGCAGATGTTCGGACATTCTTGTAGAGCTGCAACCACCACTGTCCTTTTAATGTTTCTCTCTATAGAGAGAATTTGCAATTTCACTCACTTCTGCAGAAGTGGGTTTTTTTTTGCATTTAATTTCACGGTCATCTTTACCTGTTTATCTCTTCATAGAGCTCTATTATTCTGAACTTGTTATTCTTTAAGGCCAAGTCATGAGTTGTAGTTTAACAGTGTGAAATGAGTCTGCTGAGTGTGAGAATCTTCTGTTATGCCTGTAATTCACGATGGTAGACAGGAAAGTGGAAATCCAGGTGATGTTTGTGTAGGAACGTAAGTGCTTTAGGTATGTATTCAACAGGAAAAAAATATGTGTAAATACAAATCAAATTTAAGGTAAGCAAAAGATGTGGACATAAACTGCTTGAGCCTTAGGGATGGACCCAGAAGTCAGATCCTCATGGAAACAACAGTTAGAAAAAGTATTCTGTATTTCTTTTCATTCCTTAAAAAGAAAAAAATAAAAGCTTTTATTGTAAATCTGATTTATAGAAATGGTAGTATAAAGAACTAACTTGCATCGTCTATATTAATTTTTATATGACCTATGCTGGAAACTAGTGGATGCTACAAAGTAAGACCAATGCTGACAGGTAATCAGTGGGATCAAGTAACCATTTCACTCATTAGAAGACAGCAGAGTCTGGCCAGGAAGGTGTTCATGGAGGACTTCCAGAGTACTGCTGGAGAGAAGGAAGTGTGCAGAAAAGGTGGAGGGAAGTGTTGGGGCTTGCATGTGGGGGGTGTAGAGATGAAGTTTTGTTCTTGCTAGATAGCAGGTGAGCAAACCTGCCTGCTGGGGTTTACTGGAGGGAGAGAAAGCAAAGGTATGGGGCTCTTTCATACCCTGGTTGTCTCCCCTTAGTAACCAAATATCTGTAGAGGTTCGAGGGTTTCTTTCTTTTTTGGTTTTTTTTTTTTTCCTTTTCAGTCCACTCTTTGTGACGTGGAAGACGGGGCGAGACAAGCGGCTGCGTGGCTGCATCGGGACCTTCTCAGCCATGAATCTTCACTCAGGACTCAGGGAATACACATTAACCAGGTAACTGTCAAAAATGAAAGAAATAGCTGCTGTCAAATCTGTCTTACATACTAACAGTTCTGACATCTGCAGCACGTAATTTCTCTCAGCCTGCAGTAGGCATTAGACAGCATCAGGAAGCTTGCCACTGGTATTACAGTTCATTAGATTAGGGAGAGATGCAAATCACTTTCTTTGCAGTAGCAGAGAAACATGTTTCATGCAGGCATAATCAAAAGGAGAATAATTGAGCATCTGACACTTTATTTTGGTGCTTGTTTTGGGTGATATATCTTCTCTTCCCTTTAGTGCACTTAAGGACAGCCGATTTCCCCCCCTGACCCGCGAGGAGCTGCCCAAACTCTTCTGCTCTGTCTCCCTCCTCACTAACTTTGAGGATGCCAGTGACTACCTGGACTGGGAGGTGAGAACAGGTGCATTTGGAACTCTGCATCACTGTCTCGTTCCATTCGGGTTCGGGTTAGTACATGGTGATGTATCTCCTTCATTACAGGGGTGTATGGGGAATAGAAGAGACTGGGAATAGAAGAAATGGGGCTGGAAAACTAGAAGGAAGGAAGAGGATGGCCTAGAAGTATGCTTTTGGCTGGGCGGGAATGAAAGAAACATGAAAGTGGTTCATGGACTTGGCCCAGTAGAAAATGGATGTAAATACATGTGTCAAAACCTGGGAAGTAATTTTGATGGTGTGAATGGACACTGGAAATAAAAAGTAGTTAAGATCAAAGGTATTAATGTTTTTTAGGACCTTATACATGGAAGTGTATTTCGTTCAAGAAGAATATATATATGGACTTTATAGTTGGGAATTATAGGCATCATTCTTGTGTGCAGAGATTTTGTCTCTCTTGCATGACACAAGAGATGGAAAACTGGTAAGACTTAGCTCAGGAGAAGTGGCTGGGACACTGGTGAGGCTTGTGTGGGAAGGGTGAATAAGAGAGCATCTTGTGAGACCTGCCTGGTAAGGGCAGAGAGTGGGGAAGGGAATGACCTTACCCAAGCAAACACCAAACTGTCCAGAGAGAGAGAGATGCACAGTGTTATGGGACTGGCAGCTCAGTCATGGACTCGGTGTTAGCAAACACCTCTTATCTGGCTGTTCATTTCCATCTATAGGTTGGAATCCATGGGATCAGAATAGAGTTCATCAATGAGAAAGGTGTCAAACGCACAGCCACGTATTTACCTGAGGTTGCTAAGGAACAAGGTGGGTTTGAGATGGCATCCAAACATGTCAATACACCATGTCACAGAATTGGGTAACTTAAATGTGTTAATTTGGGGCTTGGAATACAATGCTGTCCTCATGTCCTCCTCATGGAACCACCAGGCTTAATCTTGACAACTGACACCTGATACAGTTGCTGCTGGGTTTTCATCTGGCCTGTCTCTCATCCCATATCTTTGCACAGCTGTATTTTAGTGCCAGAATGTTTTAGGGCTGAAGAAATAGAGGATCTCAAAGTATGGATCTTCCAGCCTCATTCAGCATTGCATCTTTCCTCTTCTGTGTTTCTCCCACCAACTAGGATAACTGCACACTGCACAGCACCAGCAGGAGAGTCACTTTCCTCCTCATTCTTGCTAAAGTAGCATCCTCCAGAGCAGGGCTAGAAACACAGCCCCTCTGGAGCACACTTCCCACTCAAATAGAGTAGTGGTCACCATGGTAACTGCTCAAAATATTGCCTCCTCCTTTCCTCCACCTAGCAGAGTGGAGTGGTCGCATCCTCCTGGCTCTGGGGCAAAAGATTCAGGTAGGAATTTTAACTCTGATCTCTCACATAGCAGTGGACTGTGCTATCACTAGAGCATCAATCCGATGTGTCTATGTAAAGAGCTAAGTATTATCTTATTTTCAAGGGAGCTAAGTGGCACATGATGAAAAAATTTGGGGTTCCTGCAACAGTAGCAAGGCACTTTATAAGAAGACATGGAATGGAAAATGGAATTGCTCTTTTATAGACCAGCTCCAATATGGGTTTCAAGGGGTAGGCATGTGCAGATAGTGTGCATGCATCAGGCCATATATGTCCCATTCAACACTAGGATTTCTAAAGCTCAGAGTTTCCTGTTTAGATGATTGTTTTTCTAGAGTCCTTTTAATGCATCTCTTTTGTTTTTGAAACATTTTTTAAATTGAAAAATTTGCCTTGCTTCTATTTTTCAATAGACTGGGATCAGATCCAGACCATAGACTCCTTACTCAGGAAAGGTGGCTTTAAGGCTCCCATTACCAATGATTTTAGGAAAACAATTAAACTTACCAGGTAAGTAGATGTATTTGTTGTCTCTTAATTTTACTTGATAGCGTTTTCTGGGTGATTTAAGATATTTGTGCTTGATGTAAGTCTTTTTGCCTCTTCCAAAGGATACCTAGTGTGAAAGACCAAATCACAAATGCCACATGTTCGGCATATAATGGACATGGAATTAAGCACAATATGTTTGGTCCATACAGGATCAAAGTTAGCATTTTTCTAAGAGAAGTGTCACTGGTTTTAATATCACCATATATGTGAAAGATCAGAAGCAGAACCTTTGAGAGTTAAAAAGGTTGGGTATTTTGGGTTTTTTTTTTTGTTTCTCTTCAGTGAAAAGAAACTTTCTTTTCTCAGTGTTCTTGTCTGTGAATGTTGTAGCTATTTGTAGGTGACAGCTATCTTAAAACTAAACAACACTCAAATTTGTCTGGTTTTCAGGATTTACTTGCTTTTATATACCCCCAGCTGTCCTATTGGTTTCTGCCCCCTTTATGTTATGTAAAAATTGGGACTCTCTGGTTTTGTATAGAAATACTAATTTATCAGGTCATTCTTTACCTCTAGGTAGAAATGAGGTGAGTGTGCAGGGTTTTCTTTAACAGGAGATGACAGGAGGAAAGTTTTCATTAAAGTATCACTTAATGTGGTCTTAGTGCAACTGAGAACCACTTTGTAGCATGTTTACCATGCTTTAGAAGAACTCAGAAAATTCCAGTCTCTCCAAAGGAACTTCACATTTTGTGAATTCTAATTGTTCAACATGGACTAAGTCATTTATGTGCCACAGTAAACCTCTCTTTAGCCACCTCTTCATTTCTTTCACTACCTTTTCAAATGTGGAGATAACCATAAAAGTAAACAACAGTGAAATACTGATTATTTAATCACTGTAGTTGAATAGTTCCAGCATACTTTTCGTGCCATTTTTGTCAATTTTGTGTAGAAAAAAAATACAAATCAATCATTTATTTCCTGTGTGTTACTTCAGGCATCCCTTTAATTATCATCACCTCGATTAGGACTCATCTTTCAAGACATTGGAGCTAATTCAAGCTCACATAGGTTATTCATAGAAGTGGGTTCTTCTTGGTCATCTCTGTCTGTGAGCTAAAAGGGAGTCTGGGGTGAATGTTTCATGTCGAGTCCCTCCCTGTTGCGTGGTCTAACATTATTTTTCCACCTGTTCCCATAGGTACCGCAGTGAGAAGGTGACAATCAGTTATGCAGAGTACATGGCCTCCCGCCAGCATTGTTTCCAGAACGGCACCCTTCATGCCCCACCCCTCTACAATCATTACTCCTGACACACGGCTGCATGACCAGTCCCACTCCCCAGTTGCTGCCAACGGCTATGACATCATCGGGGCAGACGCCTCCTCTTCCTGGTCCAGTTACTTCTATTACTGCACCATTTTATGATGCTAGCTTCCGTTGCCAAGTCTGCCTTCCCACTGACCTGGGGGGAGGATGAGAGTGTGACAGGACTTCAGGGGCCCAAGCCTTATCTCAGTCTTCCCTCCGAGCGGGGGTTCAGTTGGATTGGGGCTCCATGCCTACGAACTGTCGTGAGGTGCAGAAGACCTTTAGGAGTGAAAGTGCTGCTTCGGACTGATCTGTTCCTGGGTGTTACTGATGCTCTGGAAACTTGAGTTGTTTGTTATGGAAGCCCCCCAGATCAAGTAGGAGCATTCCCCTGGCAGCCTGGGCAACGGAGTCCAACAAAACATTTTTTAGGTTCTTTTTAATTTTTTTTTAACCTCTGGTATCTGTTGTGTACTGAGAGCTGATTGCAGTCCCCATGCATCACAGGCGGACATCATGATATTGGGGAGGGTTGAACACCTGGATAGCACCCCATCCTCATGGACAGAAAACATGTGAAAAATTAATCCATTATTTAAATAAACCCTTGAAGGCTTTAAGGCTCAGATCCTTGGTAGGTTGGATTCTTGGGGATGAAGCCTGCTGTGAAATATAATGCTGTTTTGCCTGTGAGCAACATGGCACGTGCTGTGCACTCAGAGAAGATCCTCGAGTGTGCCTGGACAGTCTCTGTTACAGCCAAACTTTGTTTCCAAATATTTGCAAGAGATAGGATTAGGGCTGAGGAGGCCCCTAGGGTGTGCAGAGCACTGACCGTAGTCATACAAGTGAGACCAGTGACTGAAATTTGTTTTAATTGAAGCTAACGGTCTTGGGGACCTTCATTTTGACAGAACAGCCACTTTTGCTGGTATGACTACTGATCTTAGGGACTGTGAGTGTTCCAGTTTATTCCAGGCCTGTGGAATGATGCTGTTCAGTTTTGCTGGTAGGATTTATCTTACTCAGCTTAGTCATTGCCCAGGCAGTGAGTGGGGAAATCTGTATTACCCAAACTGCATGAAACTCATGTGTATTCTGTATTTCTTCTCCTGTGGCTGACGATCACAAGGAATACTCTTCTCTGAAAGAAAGTTACAAGTTGTTATTCTGCAGCATCATTGAGGGATGTCATAAACTCTGAATTATGACACTCTTTCAATTAGATAACTGGACTTCAGAATACAATTTGGGGTGGGTTTGGTTGGTTTTCCAAGCTTCTGGAGGGTCATTAATGGTCGGGGGAGAACATACAAGTGCATAGCAGAGTCATGGCTGTTTGGCTGCACACATCTTTAGAGCCTGCTTGTGTGTAGTAATTGGCTGGTGTTTGAAGCCTGAAATTATGCTTGTGGTATGGCAGGGAACAGGGCTAATAGGAAGCTGAGAACTGCAGGATGCTGCTCCTGGTCCTAAGAAGCGAGGCACAGCTTGTGCCATTTTGCTTCGTGTTCATGTAAGTTCTGCTGGAGGAGAGAGATGTGAGGGAGATTCCTCTGGATAACAGTGCAATATTGACCCAGCTTTCCTTCCATATTGGGTCTTTCCTACAAATTGCCACTTTTCCCTTGTGATGTTGTTGAAAAGCAATTGAAGATGAAAGGATTGTTTCATGACTTCCTGCTGCTGAGAATAAATGAGTCTCGTTAAAAGCCACTCCAGTTTCTAATTGCTCCCCCAGGTGCCGTGTAGTGATGGGGGAGGATGGGGTCAGCTCCAGGCATACCACTCACCTTTCAGCTGTCAAACAGTATGTTACATAGGGCTACGCTCATTACTGTTCAAGTGTTCTATGTTAGAATTTAATTTCTAAAAGGTTTAAAAAAAGGCAAAAAAATGGTGCTAAAACTTCACCCCTGAGCACGCTCGGTGAGACTGGTCATGCAGGCATACAGTGCCAGGCTTTTCAACTATACTGTTTCTTTTTCAGGTGTTTGCCCTGTTCTGTGTCTTCAACAGTGTATAGTGTTTTCCTGATTTCAGTTTCTTTGACTAGGGGATGACTAAAGGGTGGGGTGGGGAGGGTTAGTTGTCATTTTTTTAAAGAACAGAATTTTAGGATTGAGTAACTTGGTTGGTTTGAGCCTGAAGTGGGACAGATGGTTTGGGACTGGGGAAAAGTCTTATCCTCTCCCACTTCTATTTCCCCACTCAGTCTGTTTAAAAAAACAAACAAAACATAAATGCCTCTAAATATGTACTGTGTTCTTGTATTGTTTCAGTGAGAAGAGAAGCTGGCAGATCAGAAACACTGGTCTGCTGCCTAAGGAACAGGCCCTCTCAGTGTTAGTCCCATAAAGGGTCCAGCTATAAAATCAATTGAAAACTGTGTCAATAGCTAAGTCAGCTCAGAGGAATGTATGACAAAGACAGGTGGTCTCAGGAAATAATCCCGTTTCTAGATCATTACATGGCAGCTATGCATAAGGATGGAAGAGGTGAACTAGGCACAAACTGTAGTTTGAATTGCCTCAAGATGGAGACAACCAAAATCAGTGCCCAATTGATCTGAGATTTTCCCCATGGTTGCTTGGCTGGGACAGCTGGTTAGAACTATTCAAAGCAACTGTTACCTGGTGTGATCTGGATTAACTCATCCTTAAAAGCAAGTGCCTTTTGGTCTAGAAGGGCTTATTCTCATGACAACCACAACTGATAAATAATCTCACTGCAATGATGAATTGTCTTTGTTTTACAGTAACTACAGGAGAATGTCTTTGATCACTGGAGTCTGTCAGTGTTGAAATGTTTCCACTGTGAGGTTCTTAATTTTTTTATTATTTTTTTTCATGTTGTTCAATAGTCAATCTCAACTGAAGCCATTTCAGTTTGGGTATGTTGTATGGTCAAAATATCACATATCTACAATTTATCAGAACAAAAAAAAAATCTGTAAGGAAATCTAAGAGTTCATTTTAACCTTTGCACAGATTAATTTGTTTTCATAGTACATTAACAAACCTCTGCAGTCTTCACTGACTATTAGTGCTGTTTTCTGTTTGTATCCAGAAACTACATGTTGTTTTGTTGGGTTTTTTTTTTATTTATTTCCTTAAAGCAGGAGACCTCTTTTGACCTACAGTGCAGAGACGTTAGACCAATTCTTTATATTACACTTGGTTGCCTCCTACCTATATAATAATTTCTGAGTGTAAATAATTGAACTCTATCCTCTAATGAAGTATTGTAGAGAATAAATCATAATGGATAAAGATTATTTGTACTGTCCTCTTTATATGAGTTCTCACAGCCTTTATGGGGAATAAGATGAAATTGTTCTCATCTAGAAAGACAATATATTATAGGTATGAATAGCAAACCTGCAAACGACACCACATATTCAAAACCAGGGAGGTTGCCAGAGTGGGGGGAGAGCTGTCTGGAAATACACCAATAATCAAACAGGCTCACTACAAGAAAGCAAGGAAAAATAGTAGGAAAATTAAAACTAAATATTAAATATATTTCATTAATAATGGCATAGTAGCATCTTTGTATCCTGAAATAATGTTTGCTTGACAGTAACTTTCTATTGATGCCTTGAGAGGCTGACTTAGAAGAGAGGCTAGACACAGTTAAAGTAGGTATTTACTAAAAGGCCTTAAAGGACACTCCTTGGGCAGCACAAGAGCCTGGCCAGAAATTTCTACACCCAAGAAATGATCTAGGAACGGTCACAAAATGGACAACCTGCCATGAGGTCTCACATTTTTATAAATTTTGGTCAATTTGCATATTGGAGTTAATTGTCCAATTACAGCTTCAGGTTATGAACTTCTGTCCTTCTTGTTTTCTCTTCAGCCCACCATTGTTTCTGCTTTTGGCCTGAAACTTGTAATGGTTGTCCATGGTCTCAAGCTGGAAAAGGAATTGTTTTGTCTGCCTACCCTGTGAAGAGAGCTCACTGACACATACTATGAAGCTCAGAGCTACACACCTAGGCAGCACAGAATCTGAAAAATATGAAAGCTAAAACTTAAAGCATCACTATCAGTTGTGAAATGATATCATGCTATCATGATGGTGAAATGTGTAAAGTACATACATACATAGTACTGTACATCTTTCTGAAACTCAGAATTGTTCTTTTGGGGTTTTGTGTTCTAAAATGAACTGAGAACAAACTGTCTATATTTTAGAGCTATAGTCTTCTGGTGATCTAAAAACCTTATTTCAGAGGTAAAAAACACATCTTTCTAGATTCTTACTATTTTAATGTTTTCTTTGAGACAGAATTAACTGAATTGTAGAATAGTTTTGAATTGGAACTCTGGCTTACATGTTTTTTTCCATACATTTTCAGATAATTGTTAACTTTTTATCTATGGGAGCTATATAGTTAGAGACACAACATTTTCTGCTTGTAGGTCTTGGGAAGGGCAGCCCTGGATGTCAATAAACAGTCATAAAACCCCAAAATAACCACCAGTCAAACCAAGGGGGAGAGTAGCTTTGACTTAAATATGCCTGAGAAGCTCATTTATCTCAGTACAACCACAAAGTAAAAAACCTACTTTCAGAAGCTGGTACTAGGAAGGCTAGAAAGTCAATCCCTAAGGCAATGTGAGACAGATACTGTGACTAATGAGATTTCCAGGTGAATTCCAGCTGAATTTCTTTGTAAATTCTGAAGTTATCCATATCCCTATCACCCACTGCTCTCATGTGTCTCATGGAGTTACCAAGTATATTCTCTCTGCTTTGTTTGCAGAAATACAGTGGCTTAATTTGTGTATTTTAGTGTCATACTTTTCCTACCTGATTTTTTTTATTTCCTATTGAACCAGACATAAAAATCTCTATGTGCTGTCTCTCATCAGAGGTTCTTCCATGCACGTTGCATTCTGTGACTGCAGGAACACTCAGCAGCTCACAGGGAAGATGAGGCCAGGTAGACGGGTGTGCATATAACTGCAGGCTGAAATAGGTCAATCCAGGCTAAATATAAACCAGGATAATTGTCCTGGAAACAGTTTCTTCTGTTGTTACTTCTGTTTGAAATAAGAAACAAAACAAATTAGTCATTCCACAAATTTGATAGATGAGCAGAAACTTCTAGAGGATACTTCAAAGGAAGAATACTAGCTTTTTTTTAAAAAAAACACAGAAAATAAATTTGTTTTATCTGTGATGGAGAAATGCCACTTTTATCTTGAAGATAAAAATGAAAATCAGAAGTCTTACGTATACAACTCAATAAATTAATATGTACACTGACAGTACGTGGAGCAGTAGGATAGGAAAGTTCCTGAAATGGGTTTGCCACGGTCTGGAAAAAGATGACTTGTGAATATGTTTGATGATCACGCTCAAAACACAGCAAGCACAGGAGAGTATTGTTACCATGTTCTTTAAAGCAAGTATATAATTCTACAAATTGAATATCCAGATTATTGAACCATATTTTTTTCTATGATCAGCTATGTTCAGCTATTTTTTTCTATGTTCTATAAGAGCTAGACTGCTCTTATAATCAGGTTAATTCTGACATTAATTATGTATTATACAACCAGTTGATAATGTCATATATGTGTTTAAAAACTTACAGATCATGCAGTTTTGCATTCAGAGTTGTGAAAAACGAAGTTCACCTGATAAATTTCAAAAGGTTTAATATAAACAAAAAGACAATAGGAGACAGATAAAGAAAAGGGTTGAAATGGCTGGGTGCTTGGCTCTCTGCCTAGAGCACACCTGGTGCTTCATGAATACCCTTTATATACCGTTTCTACAGCATGGACTTCATGCATATTCAAACTTTTCCAGGAACTGTTTTGCATGGCCACTCCTTGCCTTTTTAGAGCGCACACATTTCTTGGCTTTGTGGCTTTAATTCCTTTCTTATCTTTTGATTTGGGCCTTGGCTCCTTCTTCCACAGGCAGTGAGGGTTGATTAGCAGCCTGGGCCCCATCATCTGTTCACTGGAGGTTATCCTGCCAGTTCAGGCAGGACTTGAACCTAATGTCTAAATTCTTGCTAATAGCAGGAGAAAAAGAAAATGACTACATTCACACAGCAAAAGCTATTCTAACATTATACATATAACATTCATCTTAATACTTGTGGAAAGCCACCATCACAATATGTATTTATAACAGAGTCTTAGTATGACTTTATTACTGGATATTAATATAACTTTACTTTGCTCATACATGTTCATTCATTATGGTTTTGGATATATAATTTTAAATGGAGTAAAAATAAAGGTAAAATGGACCTAAACCTGAAGAGTTATACTCTAAGAACACAGATGAAAACCACTCATGTCTTGTGCAATCCTGGCTGCTGTGGCACATGGTGCTCTCAGTGGGTGGTTATCTCCACGAGGATCTACTCCTATCACACTGGCACAACATAGAAAAGACATAATTACTGTTAAAAAGCTTAAAAATCACATAGAAAAATCACATTTCTTCTGCTGATGAATTAGAAGGAAAACATATTACAAAACAGGTTTAAACTAGTAATAGGATATCCTTGTTGTTAGTTGTTCCTACATTTGATTGCATAGAAATATTTAGCTGAGCATTTTGTGAGGCCATTGTGTGTAGATGCATTTAGTTGTTCATGGACCTGTGTTTAAACTGTGGCAACACAGGAACTACCATGATAGGTCTTTCTAACAATCTCCTACTCAGTACTATGTCTCCAACAAGAATCAAAGCTTTTTACCTTGGAATATGGAATATTAGAGACTTTGTTCATGAAAATTTACATTTGGCCAAGTATTCTTTTTTTTCAAGAGGTTTATTTTAGGATGTTACCAGCAAAGCTTCTTGAAAGTTCTTTTAGCTTACTTTTCTATGCAAATTTTGTTAATAAATGCCAAAATAGTCATTATTAGTGAGGAAGATGCCAGTGCATTTTAAAAATAACAAAAGGTACTCTACCACATTTGGTTTGTTGCAGCAGCTGAAAAATATTTACTATGGGGTTTATAAGCTTATTTTTTAAATTCTTAAAAAAAATAAAAATAAAATGGAGGAAAACAGCTTCCATTCAGAAACATTTTTATTTTGTTCCCAAGACCTTAACAAACACATCAGGGATAATAAACTTAATCTTTCATGATAGCCTCTTTAACTGTACCTGTAAAATCTTGGTTTTGTATACTTAAGTAGAATGGATCCTTGGGGGAAAACAAAAAGGGAAATTAATAACTTAAACTACTGTGAGCTACCTGCTGCTCTGAGAATCACAATGTTCTGAGCTGACGGGTTATTTGAGAAGCCATCAGGATTCCAAGCGATTTTAAATGCTTCTTTCCTCAATCTGGCATGGATTTCCTTGTTTTCTTGTAAACCTAACTGGAATTCTTTAATTTGCCAGATGTTCCCCGAGATATTTCCATTCCATCTTCCTGAATGTCTTTCTGCTTGTATCACTTAGCAAATTACTTTCCAATCAGTTTCTCTGCTATGCTCATTATCCAGATAAAAAAATCTATTATTTGGTCTCCTCATATTCTTCTAATTTATTATTAATTCTTTCCTTTTCCCAGCATGCAGAAAATCATTCACCTAGGCCCAGATACAAGTTTATGAGAACAGGAGTGGCTTCATCATAAATCCTTCAACAGTCTATTTTTGTCTTTCTTTAAGGGCACAGGATGACATAGTAATAAGTAGTAAGGGCTGATAAGATGATTACTTTAAGAGTCTTAGGCTGGTTAGGCACTTACGTGTGAGCTCTCTAAGGAAAACACTGCTCTGTAAGTTATTTTGCTGGCAGTGTTGGGAGAACTATCTTCATTTTCAGCCTGCCTATGACTTTTAGGGGTCTGTAGATTGCTTCTGGATAGTCTGAAAATTAACCTTCCTTATGAATTGTGTTATTTATGATGTCAATACTCCCTCCTTGCAGTCTGAGGTCTATTAATCACAGTGAGATAGGCGGAAATTCTGGCACAGTCACAGTTTTCCTGAGGCTGGGGTTTGCTGTCCAGCTGGAAGATGTTCCAGTAGTGAAATGGGGTTGGTTGTAGCAGCCTGATCCACTGGTGTGAAGATGCAACTGATGCCTCAGCGCCCTCAGGTGCTCCTAGGTAGACAGATGCTGCTGTGAAGTCTGGTGAGAGGCACCAACACAATTTTAAGCTCTTTGGCTATTTCTTAAAGGAGAGAGCAGAAGAAGAGTTTGCTCATGTGAAGGACGAGTACTGTTTCCCTCAGCGTTCCCACACTCCTGCTCTCGGGCCCTGGTTTGTGCCATGCAAGACTTTGGGTTCGTGATCACAGAATTGATTATGTTGGAAAAACCCTCTGAGATCATCGAGTCCAATCTTTGAGTGAAAACCACCATGTCAACCAGACCATGGCACTAAGTGCCACCTCCAATCTTTCCTTAAATACCTCCAGGGACAATGACTCCACCACCTCCCTGGGCAGCACACTCCAATGTGTAATCACTCCTTCTGTGAAGAAATTCTTCGTGATATTCAATCTAAGCCTCCTCTGCCGCATCTTAATACCGTTTACTCTCGTCCTGTGAGAAGAGGCTGATCCCTACCCGGCTATACCCTCCTGTTAGAGACTTGCAAAAAGTCTTGGTCTGTCGCAGCTATTTGCCCTCTGTTCATACGCACAACATTCAGCATCCACTGCTTTCCTTCTCTAAAAGAAGCTAATTACTAAGCGAGCTTAAACAAACCTCTGAAGGCTGTTTTGTTGGGAGAGCACTCAGCCTCCCGGCTCCTGCCGTCTCCCCTCAGTGCCCTACACCGGCAACCGCGCCCTTTCACCCTCAGCAGAGCCCACGGTAGAACCGGCCCCCGCCCTCAGAGAGGGGAAGCAGCCGCGCCCTCAACCCTCACCCGGGGTAGAGCCCTCACACGGGTAGAGTCCTGAGCCCTCAGCCGGGCAGAGCCGTTTCCGCCCCTCACACGGGCAGAGCCCTCAGCCGGGCAGAGCCATTCCCGCCACTCACACGGGCAGAGTCCGGAGCCCTCAGCCGGGCAGAGCCACTCTAGCCCATCACACGGGCAGAGTCCGGAGCCCTCAGCCGGGCAGAGCCGTCCCCGCCCCCGCCCAGAGAACCGCCCGCCCGGCTGTGAGGATGGGCCGCCCTTTCCGCCGCGCCTTTCCGGTGATGGCGGCGGGCGGCAGCGACCCGCGGGCGGCAGATGTGGAGGAGGACGCCTCGCAGCTTGTCTTCCCCAAAGGTGCGAGCGGGGTCGGCAAGGGGCGGGGGTCGGGTGGTGGTTGGGGGCCGGCGGCCGGCAGCGGCCGCCTGTGAGGG